ATGTTAATGTCTCTTCTAACTTTGAAGTCACAACCAGAGGTTGTTGAGGTTGGTAAGGATTTTGACGGCTAGAAGTACCACCCCCATAACCTTGGTTATGGTGATAGTTAGCCCTAGGTTGGAACCCTTGATTCCCTTAATAGTGTTGTTGTTGTTGATTTTGAGGATGTTGTTGATATGATTGTTGTTGTTGTTGCCTCGGTTGGTAGTCTCGTTGGTTCGTCATGTAATTCACCTCTTCGAACTCGGGTGGTGGACAAAACCCAGTATCATGTTCACCCTTGCAAAGCTCACAACAAGCTATTCGTTTAGCTTTTGAAGACTTTTTCAACTCTTTTATTTTTTGAGTTAAGAGTTCAACTTGTTGTGAAATGAGTTTATTTTGGGCAAGAATAGCATCGTTTGTCCCAAGTTGAAGCACTCCCGGTTTCTTCAAAGTGTTGCCTCTACTTTGACTTTGGAGGTCATTTAGAGCCATACGGTTAATGATATCTGTATCTTCGTCAGCGCTTTTAGACAACAAGGAACCACCCGAGGTAGCATCCAATAAAGTCTTACAACTAGGTTGAAGGCCGTTTTTGAAAATGTGGATTTGCGTCAATTCGTCAAAACCATGGCCTTTGCACTTTCGAAGCATGGAATTAAATCTTTCCCATGCCTCATTTAATGATTCGTTGGCTCCATGCGAAAACACTGAGCTAGCCGTTTTGGATTCCATGAACCAGTTGTGGGAGAAAAACCTTTCAATGAACTTCTCTTCCAACACGTTCCAATCCGTCATGACTGCAGGTGTTTGACCCAAGTACCAATCTTTGGCTTTGCCGAGAAAAGCGTGAGGAAAAAGTCTTTTGAACAACAGTAGCTCTTAAGCTTGATCAACTCTGGCCGCCAATGCTATCTCGTAAAATTTGGTGAGAAAAGCAAAGGGGTCTTCATGGTCCACTCCGGTGAATGGACTTCTGTATAGCAAGTTAAGAGTTCCTGTCTTCATCTTGGCTTGCCTTCTCGTGTGGTTGGCAAACTGAGCAGTATTCCTCGGACTGTTGACACATGGTGTGGAAACGGGTGGTGGTGGTGGTGGATCCATGATAGGTGTGAAAGGTGGTGGTGATGTTGTAGAAGAACCTTCTCCTTGTTCTTGTCGTTGTCTAGCTTGTTGCCTCCTCCGTCTCGTTTTGCTATTCAGTCTCCTTGCGGTTCTTTCGATCTTGGGATCAAAAAGAATTTGGTCCTCAGGAACCTGCCCTCGCATAAAACGAAAGCTGCGCACTAAACCAAACAAATTAACAAGCACAAGTTAAAAATTCAGAAGTTAAAAATTCAGCAACTATTGCGATGCTCGCAATATTAATTCACATTGCCCGGCAACGGCGCCATTTTGTTGGAGACAAGGATAGAGTATCAGGGTTTGTTATCGTCCTCAGGGAATATGTGATATTACCTCCGTTCGACAGTTATTAAGTTCTTAACTTATAGTAACAAGGGGGGTTTTGGTTTTTCGTTACGGTAGCTTGCATAAAAAGTAAGAAATTGCGGTAAAAGTTTTGGTTTTACGATTTGAGAAAGATTGTCAAAGTTAGGGTTCGACAATCACTTTGCATGTATATGTTCGATCAAACAAAACACATAAACTCCATTAGATGATAAACACATTCACAATATCCTCTAAATGTGATTATTTCTAACACACATTGTGGGTTTTTCCCATTTTGATCCATTGTTGATTTCTCACATAATCTATCAAAATGACAACTTTTAGGTTTAACATTTTAGTGAACAAACACATTCAAAACTATCTCTAGCTCAAGAACATAGATGGATGAAAACCTAGGTAAAGAGTTGGAAAACACCTTTCAATAATAAACCAACACAAAGAGTTATCAATAAAACAAGGTTTTCACCATACATTCATCATCAAAGAGTTTACAAATGAAGATCAACTCATATACACACAAAGCTTATGATCATCTACATCTAACCTTGACAAAATTGAGGTATTTAGCCACTCATTTCCATGATAGCTTCCACAAGAAGTTTCGGGAGAAGGTTGATCAACATCCGAGTCGAAGAATCGAGATTGGATGGGAATCCACCTTCTTTTTGGAAAATATTGTCAAGAGATGAAGAATAATGAGAAAATGGGTTTCTAGGTCACAAAAATTACTTTGAAGCAAAAACAAAAGAAAGAAGATATTTTTACAAAAAGTAGCCCATGCTACTTATAGGAAACGTTCTAAGTTGTCATCCTCGCTAGGCGAGCAGAATGGTTCGCCTAGCGAGCCCCAAAATGCTACACCAAAAGAGCCTGTGTCCTGAGGAATCAAACTAGATGAGTTTGCAGATGTTCGCTAGGAAAACATTCCTTCGCTAGACGAGTCCTTCGCTGCTTCACTCGCTCCAGCGAATTTTGGTCTTTTCTTCTACTGGAAGTGATCGCTGGCAGCTCGCTGAGAGCCTGCCTAGAGAACAGTTCGCTTGGTCCCTCTCTCCAGTGAAATCTGATCTTTTTGATTCTGTAAGTGTTCGCTGACATCTCGCTGAGTGCTCGCCTAGCAAACACTTCGCTAGCTTACTCGCCAGAGTGAAATCTAATCTTTTTTATTTTGTCCAAGTCTGGGAGTGTTCGCTGGCAGCTCGCTGGGTGCTCGCCTAGCGAACATTTCGCAACCTCCCACGCCAGTGCTTTGCCTAGCGAGCTTGCTTTTGTTTGCTTTCTTTCTTGATTCCTTTGTCATCTTTCTTGTGTCTTCAATTTCTACTCTTTCATGCCTAATTACTGCACAATAACATACAAATTAGAGGTACCAAGATCATTTCACATGATATTGCAAATCAACAAAAGCAAGGACGGTTTTGAAAAATTTCTCGACAAAAAGGAGTGAAAGATGCCCACATATGATAGCTCAAATAATCAAAATTGGGCATCTAACAACTTGAAATGGCAGTCTTGTTTCTTACACTTAATTACATATCATTCATTGTCAGATTGATAAACCCAATAGTCAACAATGTGTGTTATATGCCAATGTTGCAGGCGAGGATGCAAGCTTCCTTATTTTTAAACTCCATCCCGATCTCTATTTCTTCACCTATATGGTTTGGAATGACACTTCCCAACACGGAGGTTGTCTCATCTTGTTCGAAACATATATTTTGCATATGTGCAGGTGGGTTGTACAAACTTATGGGTTGTGCGCGAATCGGATGCATGGATGCGACACCTGTATCTTTATTGTCTTCGTCATCGCTGTCACCAAAAATATCTTGCATCCTGACCTCCTAAAGATTGTCATCGCTTGCTTCTCCAACCTCTTCATTTGGTATGAAAGGTTGATTGTTTTGTGTTGGTTTGTCGTTGGATGTTTGGCTCATTTTATACCAGTGTGATTGTGTCTCTTGCGTCGGAAATGTTTCGGGATTGTCTTGTAGTCGGGCATACAACTCAATTGTAGGTAACTGACCAAACATCACGTGGCACCGAAACATTACCTCCACGTCTTCGTCTTTCCTGATCGGCGTCATTACGTAAAAAAATTGTACAGTCGTCTTCATTAAGTATAGGATGACTATAAATTATCTCCTCAACACATCATGCTAATTTTTTTCCATTCTATCTTTGAAATGGAAAAAATCAGAACTGACATGAATTTTGAAGGCGTGGGTATCTGTGTTGCTGATTGAGAATCCAACGGTGCTATTTGTTGAAAAAACATCATTGAAGTGACACGTGAGGATTATTTTCTCTGAGACATTTTGGAGTGTAAAATATATGTTCTTCTTAGTTAAATTTAGAGTTATGATACAAATAATAGGATACACACAGTTTTATAAGACATACATAAAATGAAGTGTAGAAAAATGGCCCTTTGAGCTCACCCACTCAAAGGGCGAGCATACTCACGTGTAGGTCTTGCTCGTCCACCCATTGGATGAGCACACTATTGTGCTTTGTCAATTCGTCCACTCAATGGGCGAGTGTGTGATGGTTGCTGAAAAAATTGTCTTGCATGCACGAGACATGGTGTAGGACCTATTCCATTTAGCTTTGCATGCATGCAAATGTGTAAGACCTAATATATATTACCAAGGCCATGTAATTGTCACTTCATGCAGTCACATTTATTCTACCAAGTTTATATAAATTCAGATTTAACACAACCAAATTTCTACACACGATTTTAACAACAACTACTCTCTTGCATTTCTAAACACAAAGCATTAAAACATCAACTACTCTCTTGCATTTCTTGAAAATTCCTAATACTTAATCAAAATGGCATTGTTGTGGATGGATGATGAACAGTGTGGAACACAACAAAACATTCAAGCTAGTGTAAGTTTTTCTCTATTCGAGTGCATTCAAAAATAATGCTTATAATTGCTTGGTTAAATATTATTTCATATAAAAAAATAATGATTACAATTTGTTGGTTCAATATTGTTGCAGACTAATGCAAGGTTTAAAGTGCATTCTCATGGAGTATCTAGAAATAGAAGGTTTTACTCAGATATCAAAATAAATAGTCTCAAAATTGACTCAAGCTTAGTTGTGGCTCAGTTGGAGAAATGGAGACCGGAGACACACACTTTTCACTTCCCAACAGGTGAATGCACAATAACGCTTGAAGATGTGAATATGTTACTTGGTCTCCAAGTTGATGGAAAAGCTATCAACGGTCCTACTGAAGTAACAAATGATGTTTACATGGAAAGCTTGGGGATGGAACCTACAGAAGCGGATAAAAATCGAGGTTCTGTTAGAATCACCTGGCTAGAAAATTTATATGAAATTTTAAAAAATAACTCTGCTCCCACACAACAAGAAATTATGTTACAAGCTAAAGTTTATATTTTACTTGTAATCGCCACTATTTTGTTTCCCGACAAGAGTCAAAGTCTATTGCATTCTTGAAAATTGCGGCACCTATAGTTGAGGTTCTACATGTCTTGCAAAACTGTACAGGGAAATGTGCAAGGCGGCAATCAAGGATGTTAAGAGCATGAGTGGTTGTGTTCTTCTACTCACTTCTTGGGCATTCACACGTATACCATTCTTTGCTCCCGTTAGTACAGTGCAACCCTCGTATCCATACGCACAAAGGTATTTCTATATTAAAACACCCATTTATGTGTATGTAATATATATATATATATATATATATATATATATATATATATATATATATATATATATATATATTTGTTATTCAACTATGCCTAACAATATTATTATTTTTTGTTTATGCAAGATGGGCGCAAAGACGGATGAATTACGATGCTAATCCTCATTTTCATGTACAAGGATATCGAAACGCATTGGACCATATGCAAGAAAGAGATGTAAGTTTGAAACCATAGAACATAGTTGTCAGTTATACTCCTTAATGGTATTATAATTTTCTTTTTTATCTGGCAGTTTATATGGAGGCCGTACATTCAATATTCGGTGCCCGATCTTAGGCATAGCCAAATCTGGAGTGCTACAACTTTTCTTATTTGTTTCTACACCGTTGAAATTTATCAAATGGATAGGGCAAAACTCCAGTTTGGATTTGAACAACAAATCCCTTCCCCACCAAGGTGTCTAAGGGAACACCACACATTGACAATGAGAAAAGCCCAAAAAGTTCATTGGCGAGAGTTAAACAAGGAGGAGGTGAGAGAATGGAAACATATAAGACATGTGATTTTGCAAGGGGACGCTGTAGTTGGTGAACGCAAGCCAAGCTAAGAGTATTTAAATTGGTTTCGTGTCATTCCTTATGTGCATATTGCTCCAGACCAATTTTTGACCGACCCGCGCATGCAAGGATCATCACCAACACAACCAACGATCGCATCAATGCATCAGGATGTGTAACCAACCTACACATCTCAATTTTGGGGGCACCGTTAGAACAGTGGTAAAGTGTCGGGTTTTTATTATCGTCTCCACAGGGAATATAAGATATTGCTGCCATTCGACAGTTGATAAATTTGTAACTTTATAGTAACAAAAGGGGGGTTTTGGTTTTAGTAACGGTATCTTGCATAAAAAGTAATGTTTCGCGGTAAAAGTTAGGGTTTTGCGGTTTAAAGAAAGATTGCCAAAGTTAGGGTTCGGTGATCGCTTTTCATGCATATGTTCGATCAACAAGATTCATAAACTCCAATAGATGATAAACACATTCACAACATCCTCTCAATGTGATTATCTCTAACTCACATTGTGGGATTTGTCATTTTGATGCATTGTTGATCTCTCACACAATCTATCAAAATGACAACATTAAAGTTCAACATTTATGTGAACAACTTCATTCATAACTATCTCTAGCTTACAAACAAAGATGGATGAAAACCTAGTTTAAGAGTTGGAAAATATCTCTCGAGCATAAACCAATAGAAAGAGTTATCGATAAAGCAATGTTTTCACCATACATTTATCATCAAAGAGTTTACAAATGAAGATCAATACATTTACATACAAAGCTTGATGATCACCTACATCTAACCTTGACAAAAGGAAGTATTTAGCTACTCATTTTCATGGTAGCTTGCGGTAGAAGTATTGGGAGAAGGTTGATGAACATCCGAATCGAAGAATCCAACTTGGATGAGAATCCACCTTCTTTTTGGTGGAATGATGTTAAGAGATGAAGAAATGAGAGCCAGAGAAGTTTTCAGGTCACAAAATCACTTTTTAGCAAAAGTAGTAAAAGTTGTGATAAGTCAACAAAAAGTACACTAGCTATTTATAGACAAAGTTGATGGTCTGCCACGCTCGCGACCCTGCTCGATAAGCGAGCTTCCAGTGAATGTTCTCTACAGCCTCGCTCAGCGAACATGCTAGCGAGGTTTGAGGCAATCATTCTGTTTGGCTTCGCTGCAACTTCACTCAGCAAACATGCTAGCGAGTTCTTGAGGTATGATTATGTTTGGCTTCACTACTTGCTCACTAGGTGCTCGCCTAACGAGTGCTTCGCTACCCTCCTCGCTGCCAACGAACAATGCCAATATGCTTCTGCCCAAGTCTGGGAGTGTTCGCTAGCTGCTCGATATGAGCTCGCTTAGCGAACACTCGCTACTGCTTCGCTCAGCGAACATGCTGGCGAACTTGCTATTGCTTTCAACTTTCTTGGTTGCTTTGTCATCTTTCTTGTGCATTCAAATCCTACTCTTTCATGCTCAAATACTGCACAATAACACACAAATTAAAAGAACCAAGAGTGTTTCACACTATGATGCATATTAACAAAAGCAAGTCGGTTAGAGCACAAATTAGACAAAAAACAGAGTGAAAGATGCCCAAATTTGATAGCTCAAATAAGCACAATTGGGCATCTAACAACTCTCCCCAACTAGAATATTCCTTGCCCTCAAGCAAAATATGCCTCTTGAAGATCTAGAGGATTTGCTTAAAGAAAAAGGATTTTCCGAACTCGGATCAAATGGCTCAAAAATAAGCGACTCAACCAAACGCGTGTTTCCAATGGTTAGAACAACACAATGCACAAGAACTAAAATCTTAAAGAAATACAAAACATTTAACAATTCACAACAATTCTATCTTGAATGAATCACCCTATCTCTCCTCTTTGAATAAGGATTGAAGAAATTTCGCACATGCAAGCGGGGGGACAATTTCACTCTCCAATAAACAATGCAAAAATCAATTCAATTCATATAATGTCTAGCAATTATAAATGAAAATGTGGAAGTATGAAGATCACTAAGGTCTTTTCCGGTTGTAGCTTGGTCGGGTTTACAAACAAGGGACATATCTAAAGCCATTGAAACAAATTTGCCGATGCAAAAGAGGCATTCACTTGTACAACAATTCACACATTCAAACTTCGTTCAATCTTGATACTCATTTGAAACCTTTACAACTCTTGTTCCACAACTCAATTTTTTTCAATATTTTTCTTCCAAGCAAGCATTCATGATTATTCTTTTCTTTTGATCATTTTCTTTCTACACCATGTTCATAAAACAAGTGTTTTTCTTTTTCACAATCCTCTTCGATGCTTGCTTGGTTTTTTTCATGAGTTGTGGCAAGTTACCCACTTATATTTTCATTCTCCCCAACTTATCCTCTACTTCCTTCAAAAGTGAATGTTCTTTACTTTTTACGGCACAAGAACAATAATAATTTTTTTTCCAGGTTTTCAAGAAAAAAGATTTTTGAAGTCTCGCTTTATTTCAAGTCGAGATTCAATTGTTTAAGCTCAAAGGGGTTCACGAATACTCTCTCAACTCACGGGTAAGTTTGTATTTGGAACTGGTTGTACTCAAAAGAAACAAGTGCCTTGATCATTTCAACTAACTTCCACAAATTCATAATAATAAAAGACAGAACATGAATTAAATGAATCAACACGATTTATCAGAATCCAGCATTTAAGTACATAATGGAGGTCTCCTCACAATTTGTGGTTCTAAAACCTAAGTGACTCATTCATTCAATTATGTTGCAAAAAGACAATATTTGATCACAAAAAGAACAAAGTTCCGCATGCATTCTAGAATTCTAACCGAAGGTAACCATGTACCTTAGCTTTAATCTCTTGTTAATTTTTTTTATCATCGCCATCCAAGCTCGGATGCACCTTCATTGGATACTTCTTTCGGAGAGCAACCAATCTAGAAGGTTTTGACATCAACCAATCCACAAAAATTATTAAAAACAGAATTAAATGAAAAACTATTAATCATAACTGAAATTAAAGAAATAGAAATGTGTCTGGGGGACAAAACACGCCAATAGTACAATCCAAAATATCAGAACAAAATAAAATCCAGAAATCAAAACAAAACAGTAAACTGAAACAGAATCAAAGATCAGTCCTCCTCGGACTCAGACTCATCACTATCATCGGCATCATCTTCATCAAAGTCCTTATCTCCTGATACATCATCATCGTCAGTTGCCTCATCATCATCATCATCAATTGCCTCAGCAGGGCCACTCGCACCCCCTCTAAAAATAGGCCTGTCTACAGGCCAGTTCGCGTGCTGCGTAAACTGCTCGCGAGTCATCATGGAGCGCTCGGTGGAAGGCTCTCGGACCTGCAGCTGCAAAACCTGTAAAGAATCATGAATATCATACATGGCGCGCTGCTGAGCGGCCATCCAGTCCCTGTTGTAGTTGCAAACTTGCTGTAGAAAAGGGTCAAACACTTGAGAAAAACCACCGGAACCATGAGCAGTTTCGGTATCACCAGCCGATGCACTACTCTTGTAATTCTTAGGTTTGCAGAACTTGTTCACATACTTGTCATCGACTACCGGAGGAATCTTTACCATACTCATATATGGGAGCTTTAAGCGCGACTGAGAGCATAATGTCATGATGAGGCATGGAAAAGTGAGGGGGCAATTAGCTCGCGACCCTGCTTTCAAACCACTCTCAACAACCGATTTTATTTCGTTTGCTATAATCCTAGCAACGTCAATCTGAACGTTGGTTAGTATGCTGTGAACAAGACGTGCCACTGGGATCGACACAGTTGATGTGTGAGACTTTGGTTTTATATTGGTGAGAATCAGTACCAGGATCAATTGAGCCATTGGAGTCATGTCTTCCCGATGAAACCTCACTGCCTCTCCAGATGGGTTTCTTTCCACACTCTTCCCTTCCAGCAAAAGGGCTGTTGATATAGCATCAATGTTAGGGCAACTTCTAAAGCTTCGGGTGTATGTGTCATATTCATCTGCTCCCAAATTGAGCGGTTCCCCAAGTATCCTGTTAATACAAGCCCTATCAAAACTTATATGTCTTCCTTGCACTCGTGTCATCCATGTAAATGGTGCGTCATCGTCTGGTAATGCATTTGCATAAAATTCCCTAACTATGTCGATATTGTATCATTTAAGTGGGGAGATCAGCTTGTCCCACTTTTTGTTGTTTATCAACCCGGCAAAAGTTCCAAACTCGCCTCGAGGTTCAATGATGAACCTCTTTTCTGGCAGGATCTTTCTCTTTTGTAAAGCCGAATACCGAACGGCTTACTTTGGTCCAAGGAACACGTCATTGTCAAACTGAATTGGAACCTGTCGGGGTGTTGAGACAACCTTTCACTTCTTGCCTTGGTGTCGCTGGTTTCCTGGGGCCATCTGCAAAAGAGTCACATAAGGATACCATAAACAGCACCACATAACATTAGTCAGCAAAAATAAAACAGGACTGAGATTCTCGCTGGCTTGCTCGCTTAGCGAGCTAGTAGCGAATGCTCGCTACAGGCTCGCCTAGCGAACAAGCTAGCGAGTGCTGCGTATTTTCAAAATGCATCCACTGTTAGAAACCCTCATTAATAATCAACAAGGTAACAAGAACCATTCCAATATCCAGTAGGTTTATCATAAAAAGCTTAAGACTAACCACACATGCAATCAAATTTTTCTCAAAATCCCTAACATTCCTAATCTGACCTAAATCCTAATTTCTACACATTAAACAATAGAGAACAAAAGAGAAGAGAATAGAAATCAAACCTGTGGCAGCAGAGAAATTGAGATGACAAAGAATTTGGGTTAGCAAGAATTTGCAGAGGTAGGAGCGTTTGCACGGTGAGAGTGAAAGTGAAGTGTGGAAGTGTTAAGTAAGGTTGAGTGTAGTGAAGTTTTAAGCAAAAACAGAATTTGGGCCTACATAAGTGGCCCACTAACCAACTTAAAATTGCATGTTCGCGCACGTTCGCTACGAGCTCGCTCAGCGAACTGCTAGCGAACATTCGCTACATGCTCGCG